GAAGCCACAGCTGTGCCCTTTAGATGGAGTTACTTGGAGACGAAAAGGGAGAAGAAGACCACTAATAGGATTCCCTTGGACCCATGCAGGAGTGAGGAGCCAGAACAGCTGAAAAAGGGGAGCCATTCAGAGGCCAGTGAGTCAACGCAAGGGACCAGCACAGGGCCTGTCCCATGGGAAGTGTTTGGAGCATGGGCAGTGGGGGAGACGGGCCCACCAGGAGAAAACTGGGATACAGCAAGGACAGCCAATCTGCCCCCCAATCAATGAAGGACCACTCAGAGGAGACTGGTCAGGAATGCAGAATTGCATGGAGTGCAGTTTGATGAAAAAGCTCAGGCCCAGACTGGATTTTCTATACAACCCAGGTATACTGTGTCTCTGGAGAGCTGGAAGTACCTACAAGGTCAGCTGTTAATGCCTGAGCTGCACAAAAAGCCTTTCCTAGGGAAATAGCAGCAAAGCAGCAATTTAACTCAACCACACAACTCAAGTACTGGTTCCCACAGGAAGTTCCCCCATATTAGAATTAAGCAAAGGACAAAAACTTAGTTCCAGCCCAGGCACACCAGCAATGCCTTGGGGCCCACTAGGGAACATGAGGCATGGAGCCAGGGGCAGGACCCCAGCCAACAACCACTCACATGACCAGCACCTTGGGGCCCTTCCCAGGAACCCAACGATTGGAGCCAGGACCTGACCCCACTCCCACATCCAGGCACACCACCAATGCCTTGGGACCCACCTGGGGACCTGGGGCTAGCAGATGTGGACTGGACTCCCTTCCCACACCCAGGCACATCATGACAGTGCCTCAGGGCCCCACCCAGGTGCCCGAGGCATGGAGAAGGGGATCGGACCCCCCTCCCACAACCAGGTACACTGTACCAGTGCCTCAGGGCCTCCCTGGGGACCCAGGACATGGAGAGTAGGACCGGACCCTTCCTCCCACAACGAGGCTCACCGAGCCAGCACCTTGGGGCCCGCCAGGGTCTGGGGCATGGAGAAGGGGGCTGGACATCCTCCCAAAACCAGGCACACCACGCAAGCATCCCAGGGCCTTCCTGGGGACCTGAGGCATGGAGAAGGGGACCAGACCCCACTCCCACAACCAGGCACACCTCACCAGTGCCTTGGGGCCTACCCAGGGTCCTGGGGCAAGGAGAAGGGGAATAGACCCCCCTTCCACAACCAGACACACCTCTCCAGCACCTTGGTTCCTGCAGGGGGATCCAGGGTATGGAGCTGGGGACCAGACTCCCCTTCCACAATCAGGCACACCTCACCAGCACCTCAGGTCCTGCCTGGGGTCCCAGGATATGGAGCCGGTGATTGGACACTCCCCACAACCAGGCACACCGCCAGCACCAAGGAGCATGCCAAAATCATCTCCTCTATGTGGGTGGCCCATCACAGCCACCACGATAACCATGGTTAACATGCAGGTGACTAGACACCACAACCACCACGCAGATGGTCTGCCAGCTACTGGAGTGCATTCACAAAAGAAGAGTCACCAGTAGAGATAAAGAAAGGAGGAGGATGTCTCTCTCCACAAAGCCCATTTCAGAGTGACAGAAGAGGCGTCTGCTCTATGATTGTATTGGGGGACCTGATCATGCCTCTCAGCATTGGACAGATCATTTGGGCAGCAAATCAACAGAGTAACCATTATTCTTTCAGAGGGAGAGAAGAAATCTAGCATGATTAGAGGGGGAAGGGGGGAAGGGGTGGAAGGGGATAGGGGGGATTTGACAAGGGGCATAAAGAATAATTATGATTTGTAACAATATATATGCTAGTAATATTGATTTGATCGACATATCTCAGTGTTGAACCCAAAAGTATGTATAATCAATTTTGATTCAATAAAAATTAAGAAAATAAAATTTTATAAAAAATAAAAAAAGAATTTTCAGCTTCCAGGAAGAATGGTTGCATTTCATTGGGTGATTCATTTTTCTACCAGGGAAAGCCACTGTTTTACACTTGCTCACACTGTGAATTTTCTCGGTATTTTTTCAGATATCCTGATTGATTTCCTAAAGGAAGTGGCAGCTGCTGTCCATGAATTGCCATTTTATTATTATCACATTCCTTCCTTGACAGGGGTAAAGAGTAAGTACTGATTCTTTTCATATTTCTTTCCTTCCAGCTTTCACATCTTTCCCTATTTCACTAAGGAACCCCCACTCCATTTCACCCCACCCCATGCCACAAAAGCACATCACCATTGACTAGGTGGTTCCAATTGCTCCAAAATAAGTCACTCTGATATTGCAGCCCTTACCAGTCATTCATACCACCTTATAATGGAAGTTCTTAAGTATGAAAGAAGAGTGGACTTCTAGACACTCATACAGACACCTGTGGCCTACTTCTTAGAAGACATGAGACTGTATGTCCCACTAGGACAGGATTGTGTCCACCAGTATGCAGTGTATTCACAGTGCCTAGCATGTAGAAAGGTTCTCTGATCTCTTATGATTTTTCTTCTAGCTTTTCTTTTATTACTATATTTCCCCAGTGAGAAGATTTTATAATTAGATGAAATTTCTCAAGAGATTGTTCTTAAAATTCCATTCTTCTCTGAACTCCATAAAAGAAAAAATAGAGACTGCTTTATAAGTATGCTGAAGAAAACACAGNGAATAATTATGATTTGTAACAATATATATGCTAGTAATATTGATTTGATCGACATATCTCAGTGTTGAACCCAAAAGTATGTATAATCAATTTTGATTCAATAAAAATTAAGAAAATAAAATTTTATAAAAAATAAAAAAAGAATTTTCAGCTTCCAGGAAGAATGGTTGCATTTCATTGGGTGATTCATTTTTCTACCAGGGAAAGCCACTGTTTTACACTTGCTCACACTGTGAATTTTCTCGGTATTTTTTCAGATATCCTGATTGATTTCCTAAAGGAAGTGGCAGCTGCTGTCCATGAATTGCCATTTTATTATTATCACATTCCTTCCTTGACAGGGGTAAAGAGTAAGTACTGATTCTTTTCATATTTCTTTCCTTCCAGCTTTCACATCTTTCCCTATTTCACTAAGGAACCCCCACTCCATTTCACCCCACCCCATGCCACAAAAGCACATCACCATTGACTAGGTGGTTCCAATTGCTCCAAAATAAGTCACTCTGATATTGCAGCCCTTACCAGTCATTCATACCACCTTATAATGGAAGTTCTTAAGTATGAAAGAAGAGTGGACTTCTAGACACTCATACAGACACCTGTGGCCTACTTCTTAGAAGACATGAGACTGTATGTCCCACTAGGACAGGATTGTGTCCACCAGTATGCAGTGTATTCACAGTGCCTAGCATGTAGAAAGGTTCTCTGATCTCTTATGATTTTTCTTCTAGCTTTTCTTTTATTACTATATTTCCCCAGTGAGAAGATTTTATAATTAGATGAAATTTCTCAAGAGATTGTTCTTAAAATTCCATTCTTCTCTGAACTCCATAAAAGAAAAAATAGAGACTGCTTTATAAGTATGCTGAAGAAAACACAGTTTTCCCTACTCTCTACTCTCATACTCACCACTCAACACAAAACACTTCACCTCTGGTCACCATCATGCATGTGGGGATTTCTCTCCACCAATGACCAGTTCTCCATTGGAGACTAACAGGGTGTCTTCTAATTCAATTCTGACACTATCTACCTGGAGATAGCATCAAATCTCTCAGGTTAAGGGCTCAGTCCGACAAGTCTGCCCTTGCTTCAGATGCCAATTGCAAGTCCCAGGTTGTGACCTGTACTTCTGACCAGCTGGATATAAATTGGGGTTCCCATGACCCACCCCGTCCTAGGGTTTGATTAATTGGCTAGAGAAGCTCACAGAACTCAGGGAAACACTTTACTTACTACTGCCTGATTATTACAAAGGCTATTGCAAAGGATACAGATGAACAGCCAGATGAAGAGATGCATAGGACAAGGTGTGGGAGAAGGGACAGGAGCTTCCATGCCCTCTCTGGACACACTACATCCAGGCACTGTCATGTGTTCAGCAACCCAGAAGTTCCTGAATCCTGTCATTTTAGTTTTTTATGGAGGCTTCATTACATAGACATGATTGATTATATTATTGGCCACTGGTGATCAACTCAACCTTCGCTCCTCTCCCCTCCCTGGAGGTTGGGGGTGGGTTCCCCTGGCAACCAGCCCCATCCTTAGGCTATCCAGGAGCCCACCAAGAGTCATCTCATTAAACCAAAGATGCTCCTATCACCCAGGAAGTTCCAAGGGACTTAGGAGCTCTGTTTCAGGAACGAGGGTCAAAGACCAAATATTAGAATGAAATATTCTCCTAGCACCCCCTATGTCCAAGTTTAGGAGCTTTTTTACAGGAACCAGGGGAAGAAACCAAATATATTTTCACAATATCACAAATATCCAAATTCAA